CTACTGTATTGTTTTTTCTCAATTCTTAATTTTACTTTTGTTGCTTTTACTTTTTCTTTTTAAAAGATATTTCTTCAGGGTCAACTAAATTGACTTCATGTTCACTGATCTTCAGGGTCAACTAAATTGACTTCATGTTCACTGATTGTTCATGACCCTCAATTCAGAGAAATAGTAGTGTAGTAACATGGTAAAGTGTCTGTTTTAATTAAGAGAGAGAGAGAGANAGAGAAATAGTAGTGTAGTAACATGGTAAAGTGTCTGTTTTAATTAAGAGTGAGAGAGAGAGAGTGTTTGTGTGTGTGTATGTTAGGTTGCAATGTAAAATGTATTTCTCACTCTAGGTCTTGCTTCCTTTTTGATCAAGAAGTTTGAAAATTTCTGACCTTGAAGAGCCTCATATATATAAGAAGATATACGCCAAACTATTTATGGCAGCTTGTAAGGGTGAAAAATTAGAAAACCTAAGTAGTCATCAGAAGAGACTGGACAATGAACTGTGATAGAGTCACACAACAAAATGCTATATGACAATTAAAATGGATAAACTAGAGTTGAGAATTGTATATGTGTCAGCACAGATAGTTATAATAGTGAAAAAAGTGACATGAACAATATTAAAATTTCATATAAATTTATAAAGTGTGTAAAACTTTATTATATGGATATAATATGTAGCAAACTTAAATGACCATGGAGGCAAATCAGAATTCTGGTTATCTCTGCGAAGCAAGAGGGAGGGCAGTGGGATCAGAAAGGTATATATACATAGGGGATTTTAGCTTTATCGATACGTCTATACCATGTCTTATTTTTATATTTGATTAAATACTGCAAAATGCTAAGAGTTGACAGAGCTGGATGACCAAAGTACTTTCATTTTTTAAAAGAAACTTTGAAATTCACAATAAGACCTGAGCTACCTGGAGGAATGAGTAAATTTAACAAGATGTGTAAGACCTTTATGGAGAAAATTATACAACTTATTAATGGATATTAAGTCCAGAATAGGTGAAAACATCTCATTTTCATAAATAGGAATAGTCAATATTATAAATATATTGGTTTTCCACAAGTTCATGTAAATTAACTACACTTCCAATTAGAACCCTATATTTAGTGGAACTTGATAAGCTAAACTTAACCAATGTAAATTTGAAAAGTAAGGCAAGGGGCTCAGCATGCTGCAGATATCAACACTCATGAGAAGGAATAATAACTAAAATTTTTTGATATTGGCGTAGGTATGAATACACCAGTGAACAGAATATAAAGCCCCCAATCAGACATTTATTTATAAGGATCTGATATGCGACTGATTTCTGATTTATTTATAGGGATCTTTAATTATGAATTACTAAAGAAAAGAAAAACTATTTAATGGTGCTGATAAAATAGTCTGTCCTTACCAGAGATGTTTAGATCTCTATCTTACCCCTTAAATAAAAACAAGTTCCTGATATGTTGGAAACCTAAATGTGAAAAGCAAAACTGAAATGTCTATAAGAATACATGAGGGGAATATCTTTATAACATCAGGGTACTTTTTCATGCATCAGATTCCTCATTTATAATTAGTGGTACCTATCCCGCTGGATTCTGATGAAAAGTGAGTTAATGCTTACCTGTCTCTTTCATAGTTAACATTCAGTAAATGTTTTCTACTGTATTTGGGGGCAAAAAGGGGTTTTTTTAAAAAGAAGCTAAGTTGCCCGGCTGAGCGTGGCTCAGCGGTTGAGCGTCGGCCTAGGATCCAGGAGATTGGGGTTCGATTCCCGGTCAGGGCACATGCCTGGGTTGCAGGCTTGAGCCCCAGTCGGGGGCATGCAGGATGTTTCTCTCTCTCTCTCCCCCTCTCCCTTCCTCTCTCTGAAATCGATAAAGATATATTTAAAAAAACACACAACTAAGTTGTATCAAAATATTTTAGATTAAAATGTAAATTTGTGTATTCTGAAAGGTAACATAAAATAAACATTCTAAAGATTTGGGGATTTTAAAAAAATACATATTCTGTGATAAGGTTTATTTATATCAGAAAAAAAAAACTAAGCAAAGGAAAGCACAGTTGATGACTTTGCAAAGAATATGAACTATAATAAAATATAGGGAATGCTATTTGTAAGACTTACACAATTAATAACTTGAATGTTTTATCTGCTAGTTCAGGATAATCAAACCTTTTACTTACCTGAAACTTTCTAGTGAGTAATCTTATAATCCCCATTTTACTAAGGTATCACTTAAGCTTTCTTACTTAGCTATAAATATAAAGTCTTCCTATTATATTGAAACCTGAATTATCTAAGTATCACTTAGTGCTGGAAATAGGAACAGAATTTGTGTCTGAACGTATTTTTCAATTCTTGCTGATGCTGGAAAAAAATTCTAACTTCAGTACAGAGATTGCTGCCACACTATTGAAGGAAATCTGTATATTCTGTAAAGGACTCATTCACATTTCAACAACTTGATCATAAATTTAGTTTTTTTATTTCATTTTGTGTTCAACTTGTAACATAGTGACATTGATTTCTTGTAAAAGCCTAAATTCAGTCTGTTTACATTTCAAAACAATTGGCTAAATATAATCCTTAGATATTTAAAATGCTCAATTGGTTGAAATGTATTATCAGCATGACTGAAAAATACTATTTTATTGCATAATTTTAAAATTCTTCAGAGAGAATTAGCCAGATGCCAGGCAGTCATGGTTGCTAAGACATAACTTAAGGATGGTAACTTTAAGTGATGACATAGTTCCAAAGTGGTCATAACTGCTGTTCTAAGACATGGGATACTGAAATCATGTGGCAGTACTAGGTCATGAGGCCATTCAGATGACCCAGAATAGGCTTAAACTTTTTTGTTTTTATTTCCATAAAGAAAAAAGTTAAAAGGTTTTATAGAAAAATTAAATCCCCAAGAATACATCTCAACTCATAAGAAACATTCTAACAAAAGTGTAATAGAGAACCTGTTAACTCAGATTCTAACACAATCTCTTTCATTTGTGCTGATTATACAAAAGTTTAATTTTTACTCATTTTCTTAGGCTGAATTCTCATGAATGGATTGAGTTAAAGATAGACACTTTTAGATCAGTGATTCTTAAATTATCCTTGTCATAATCAGTTTTTCATATGGAACAGGGATCCTTCATGTAATTCAGAGTTTTGTTCTAAGGATAAGATTGGTGTGGGGCTGGCCGCACAAGAGTATTTCCAAACCAAGCCTGGAGACTGGATGCTCTGCTTTTCTGCAGGACTAAGCTGTCTCTGCCTTTGCTTACTTGTGTGCTGACTCCCCTCTTCTGAGCCTCTGCTTTCTGGTCATATGATGAATGTGGCTTCTTATATAAAGGCATGTATAGTACTGACCCTGTAACCTTAGCCTTCAGATTTGCTTTTCTTTCTGTGTTCCAAATAGTGATTAGTGCACCATTACATGCCGCTTAGTTACATTAGTTAGTAGCAGTTATCTTTGAATCATCATCTTCCCTAAACTGTCCACATCCAGTTACTCAATAATACTGTGCATTTTCTCTAAAATAACTGAAGTAATAGTCCTATCATTAGCCCTAACTTCTGTCTTCAGCTTTTTTTTTTTTTTTTTAATATATCTTGATTTCAGAGCGAGAAAGGGAGAAGGGGAGAGAGAAACATCTATGATGAGAGTCATTGATCGGTGCCTCTTGCACACTCCCTACTGGGGCTTGAGCCCGAAACCCTGGATGTGCCCTGACTGGGAATCAAACCACGATCTCCTGGATCATAGGTTGATGCTCAACCACTGAGCTATGCCACCGGTCGGGCTGTCTCCAGCTTTTTAATCTGACTAGCTTTCTTCTCCCCTATCTTCTACCACATTACTTATATTCCATATTCAGAACATTTCCTTGTCCCTAAAAAATGAATTTTCTATCTGGTGTATTCTTTTCTCTTCAGATTTCTGCTCTGGTGTCACTTTTGTGATACCTTTCCCTTCCAAAGGTTGAATTAGTAAGTATGTTCTCTGTGCTTGGATAAGACTGTGTCACATGGTATCAAAGTTTATATAGCTGGCTCCCACAATATGCTTTGTGACATTTAGCAGAGACCAAAGGTGGCCAAGTATACCTTTTGCTGCCTGGTAGTCCTAGTGTTTACTTCGGTGGATTATTACATGTGTTTCTTGGAGTTTTGTAGGTTGCTTTATTTTGTCAAGTTGTAGTTTTATATACTGTGGTGCTTGTTTATGTGCATTCTAGTCTACCACTATAGACAACAATGGTACTGTCAAATTGTATTGTTGTGGTCCTCTGAGAATTCAAAGTCCGTGTTTGAGAATTATACTTAAAATTCTTTTTTTATGTCTGTGATTGGATATCATGCCAAATAATTTTAAAAGTTTCCCACCGCCCCCTAGGCCCTGTTCCCCAACATTTGCCTAAATGTGCCTGCAGAGACTACCTGCAATTTGTGGGTAGACCCCCTAGGCTTCCATCTTCAGTCAACTGCAACCTCCTCCCTTCTGAAATTTACAGTGTGCATTGGCTTTTTTTTTTTTTAGGTCAGCAAAAGAAAATTTAATAACAGCGTATCAAATATTTATGCATTGGCATTTTGAAGGTTTGAAAAATTCTTAAAGAAATCCATTTAACTTTGTTTATCATGGAACTTCTTATTGTATTTGTCCCGATACTGTTTTATTTTTTGGAATTGTAATGTATATTTGATAAAATGCCGAACTATAAGTGTTCAGGTCACCTCAAAAAGGTACTTTGCCCCTCTGACCAAGCATTTCTGTATGTCTTCTCCCCTTTCCTGAGACAATTAGTTTGACTTCTATCACTGGATTAGTTTCCTTTGTTGTTTGAAGTCATAAGTGGAATCAGTATATATTTTTGTGTGTTTTGCCAATATGTTTTTGAGATTCATCCATGTTGTGAAGTGTGTAAGTAGCTCGCTTGTTTTTATTGCTGAGCAGTATGCCTTTTTACGAATATACCATGGTGGTTTGTTCCCTTTTCAGTTTTCTTGCTATTAGGGCTGTTTTGGCTATATTGAGAATGGCTGCTATGCACATTCTTTTATAAGTCTCTTTTTGTGGACATAAAGTTTCATTCTTGAATATATATCTAGGAGTGGAATTGTTGTAATACAGGGTAGATATATGTTTAACTTTAGGAACTTGATGGTTTTCCAGAGGTGCTGTAGCATTTTACAGTCACATCAGCATGTGGTAGCCTGAATATCAATTAAGCATCTTGAGGTGTCGAAATTATCGTGGAATATCTGGATGAGCCCTAAATGTAATCACAAGAGGTGGTAGAGATTTGACTACAGAAGGAGAAGGCAATGTGACAATGGAAGCAGAGATGGGAGTGATGTTCTTTGAAGATGGAGAGAAATGGGGCACACGCCAAGGAATACAGGAGGCAACTAGAAGCTGAAAAAGTTGAGGAAATGAATTCTCCCTTCAGACTCTTCAGAAGAAACCAGTCCTGAGGATACGTTGACTTTCTTTAATCCATTGAAACTCATTTAGGTAAATCTGTGTTGTTTTAAGGCACTGAGTTTGTGATAATTTCTGAAGGCAGCAATAGGAAACTAATGTACTCCATCCTCATCAACATTTGGTGGTCTGAGGATATTAAACCATTCTAGATGGTGTAAAATGGTATTGCACTGTGGTTTTAATTTGCACTTACCTGAAGATCATTGACATTAAACACCTCTTAAGGGCCATTCTGATATCCCCTTTCATGAAATTTGTCCTTTGCCTCTTTTTAAATTTTTATTTATTTATTATTTTTAAAATATATCTTTATTGATTTCAGAGAGAGGAAGGGAGAGGGAGATAGAAGCATCAATGATGAGAGAGTTGTCATTGATCGGCTGCCTCCTGCATGCCCCGGACTGGGGAACCTGGACATGTGCCCTGACCGGGAATCGAACTGTGATCTCCTGGATCCTAGGTCGATGCTCAACTGTTGAGCCATGCCTGGCCAGGCTGCCTCTTTTTAAAAAAAATCGAGTTCATCTTTCTCTTTTACTTGCAGTTTTGTATACATTCTGGGTAGCAGTCCTTTGTCAGCTATACATACATAGTTATCTACATATATATGTGTCTCTCTCTCTCTCTCTCTCTCTCTCTCTCTCTCTCTCTATATATATATATATATATACACACATACATAAAATACTTTTCTCCAGTCTGTGACTTGCCTACTCATTTTTGTAATGGTGTCTTTTTGTGTTTCCCTCTAAGAGCTTAAGATTCTGCTTTTCCATTTAGGATGGTTAAAGATAATGGTTGAGGCTTATTATTTTCCATATTGTTAAATAGTAGATTGGCTTGGTGCCTTGGTGAAAAATGAGTTGACTGTATATACATAAGTCTATTTCTGGACTCTTTCTTCTATTTTACCTATTTTTCTTATGCCCACTCTATATTCTTGATTACTAAGGGGTTTTAGTAAGTCTTGACATAAGGTGGTGTAAGCCTTCTAATATCCTTTTTCTTTTTTCAAGATTGGTTTGGTTAGTTTAGATTTTTATTTTTTATTTTCATAGGGGTTTTAGCATCAGCATATCGATTTCTTTAAAAAAAAAAAAAAAAAATCCTGCTGGAATTTTGATAGAATTACATTGAATTTATGTATCAAACTGGGAAGAATGGACATTTAAACAACATTGAGTCTTCTAGGCTATGATTATGCTCTTCATTTCAGTCTTCTTTTGTTTCTTTTAGCAATATTTTGCAATCCTTAGTGTAGGGGTCTCGAACATCTTTCTTTAGATTGATCTGTAGGGGTTTTTTTGTTCCAATTTTAAGGTATTTCTTTAAATTTCATTTTCCAATTCTTCGCTTGTATGGAGAAATACACCTATTTTTTTTTACATTGACCTATCTTCAAACTTTGCTCTAAATTCACTCATTAGATTTATTAATATTTTGGAGAGTCCATGTAGTTTTCCATGGAGACATTAAAATTACTACAGAATATACTACTTTCTTTCTAATCTTTATGCCTTTTGTTTCTCTTTCTTGCCTTAGTGTGCTGGCTAAGATCATCCAGTGTTTTATTGAATAGAAGTGGTGACAGTGTACATCCTTGTCTTATTCCCAAATCATAAGGGAACAGTATTTGATGTTTCATCCTTATGTTACTGTTCTAGGTTTTTCATAGATGTCCTTTTTCAGATTGAAGAACTTCCTCCTTTATATTTCTAGTTCGCTGAAAGTATTTTTTTGTTTGTTTTAAGAATAGTTTATTGATTTTGAGAGAGGAAGGGGGGGAGGGGAGAGAAACACCTATGTGAATACAACATTGATCAATCGGCTACCTCTTGCACACTCCCTACCAGGGATCCAGCTGACAACCTTGGCATGTGCCCTTGATCAGGAATAGAACTGGCAACCTTCTGGTTCACAGGATAACACCCAACCAACAGAGCCACATAGGCCAGGGCTGCTGAAATTTTTTAATCAGGGATATTACATTAGCATTGTCAGATGCTTTTGACATCAGTTAGGAGAATCTTAAGGATTTTCTTTTTTACTGCAAATGAGGTGCTTGATATTTGTAACATTAAACCAGTTTTGCCCCTTGAGACAAACCCCAGTTGGTGATGATGTATGATTACCTTTTCTACATATGTTACTGGATGTGGTTTGCTAATATTTTATTAAGGGTTTTTGCACCTAGTAGTAGCAGACTTTTCTTTGCATCAGGGTATTGGGCCCAAGCCAGCTTCTTGCTCCTGTTTCAATGTCAGATAGCTTTTCCTTCTACTCATTCCTCAGTGTCAGTGTACCTTTGGGACTGGTAGTGGCAATGTTTCCTGCCTTCTAGCAGTAGACTGGTTATTGTTACGTGGAGAAAGCTTGTTTTTGTGTGGGAAGTGGGCAAGAAGATGTTCCTCCCTCCCATCCCCAACAGTACATAACTTTTGCTCTACTCTTCCCCTGAGGCACTTGAAGCAGGGGATCTTTTCTTGGGCAAAGGAGGCTTTCTGGCATTTTCACTTATGGTTGAAGGCTTTTGCTTTATATGAGATGCCAAGATGGAGCCCTCTTCCATCTCTTGCCCTAGGCCAGTCTTTTTCAAGAGAACTCAGTTGAGTCCTTTGGAAAAGGGCTCGTGAATGAATGAAGACTCCCCTTCTTTTTGCCTTCTTCCAGGGATTCTTAACTGCCATTTTAGCTGACACTCCCTCTTTGTCTTTACTTCTATCTTTAATATTTAGTAGGTTGACTATGAGTATGTTTCCTTTGCATCTGTGGGTTGATAACGGCCATCATATTTGGAAAGCTGCTGGCCATTATTTCTTCATATATTTTTTTTCTTCCTCATTCTCTCTTTCATTTTCTTCTGAGACTCCAGTTAAATTCCAATTGACATTTGGTCTTGGATGTTTTGGAATTTATTTCCATACTTTTTTCTCTTTGTATTTCAATTTAGGTACCTTTCTTCAAATTCACTGATCATTTCTGTTATTAAAACCCATCTAAAGATCTTTAATTTCTGATATTGTATTTTTTTATTTCTAACGTTTCCCCATCATCTTTTATAGCTTCAGTGTTGATAATGAAATTCTCCATTTCATTATGCATGCTATCTTCCATCAGATCTTTTAGTGTTTTTATCATAATTATTTTTAAAGTTTATATCTGGTAATTCCAATACCTGGGTCCTCTCTGATCTGATTATATTAATAATTTCATCTTTTGACTATGCTTTGCTACTCCCTGTCTTGTAAGATTGAATGCTGAACATTTGTATAAAAACAGTACAGATTGAAATAAATGTTATTTACTTCCAGAAAATGGGCCATCATTTCTTATGTTAGTTGATAGTGGGGCTAAGTCAGTAAGATGAATAGTTGAGCTAGTTCTGGGCTTTGTTGCAGCTTTAGTTTGATTTAGTTTAAGTGTTTTGAGAGCAGGATTAGGACTTTCTGCAAGATTTGTTGTCTGTAATTTCAGTTATTTCTTTGTGCTTTATATCTGAGCCATCAACTTTCTGACCTGTGGGTGATTTGATTTCTCTGCTTTACAGCCTAGCTGTCTGTCCCTTGGTCATTCTGAAATTCTTTTGGCTCTTCAGTCCTGTCTCAGGCTTTTTTATGTCTATTGTGATAACCTCTCTACCAGTAATTCCTTCCATGGTAGTTTAATGTCCAGAGTATCTGGGTAGAAGTGTTTCTTTCAACTCTCCTATCCAACCTCAGCCCTTGGCAGCTGAATGTCTGGAGTTTCTTGGAGTGATTTTTTTTTTTTTTTCTTTCACTTCTGTCCATCCCTCCCTTCTCCCCCCATCAAAGGACAGATTTATTGCATTTGAGGGGGACCATAAGCTTCTTAGGATATCTCTCAGCTTTCCAGCTCCGTTCTCCAACCGTTGACATATTTTGAAGCGCTTGTTGAAGAAGTCTCTGTGGGTATGAGTAATTGAGTAGTGCAGAGGTTTGCTCTGAAATCTTTGGAATTCTAATGTCTTGTCAGCCTACATGTTGCTGTTAAGATTTGTTAAAGGTAGTCTGGTTTCTTCTTACACTCATCTGTGGTGGGATTATTCCTCCTTAGCCATTCCACCAGGAAAGAGACTACCTGTGGCCCTCTCTTCTATGAAGGCCCAACACTCTGAAAGTTAGTTCTACTTAGGTTACTTTGCATCCTTAACTCTGATGGGTTCAGAAAAACCATGATTTTGTAGCTTATCTGGCTTGTTTTTATTATTAGAGTGAAAGTGATGGTCTATTGTGACTTTCTACAACTTGATTAGGAGTGGAACTCCTCTCATAGAATACTGATTAATGTATAGTCTGGTAAATACCTTATAAAATTTATTTCACTCTAGTTGATTTTCTGTAGTATTGCTCAGAACTAGGTTTCTGAATATTTTTCATCTCAAATCTTGACTTTTTAGTTCTGTCCTCAAGTGGTAGTACTGAACTAACACACATTCTCTCTCTCTCTCTCTCTCTCTCTCTATGTACATATATATAATATATACCTATGATAAAGTTTAATTTATAAATTAAACACAGTAAGAGAAAAACAATAATAATGAGTAACCAGAACAATTATAACAATATATTATAATAAATGTGCTCTCTGTGTCTTTCTCTCTCTCTCTCTGATAACTGACCTAACAACCGAGACAGCTGTTAAGTGACCAGAGGATGGGGAGAGTATACTTCGTGGATGTGCTGGAGAAAGGGATGATTCACATCCTGGGTGGGATAGAGTGGGACTGTGTTTTTCCTCACCCTACCGAGAATGGCACACAACTTTTAAAACTCAAGAATTGTTTATTTCTGCAATCTCACACCTAATAATTTCGGACTATAGTTGACCATGGGTAACTGAAACCCCAGAAAGTGAAACTGCAGATCGGGGCTGAGGAGGTGGGGGTGGGGGGACTACTTTACTGAGTTATAAATAGCAAGATTAAATAAAAGTTTAAAGATTTTAAAGAATTGTACCGTGGTGAGAGAAGAGCAACTATATTTGACTATACTCACTATGCACATTATTACTTAGATAAAAATGAAAAAATATTTTTAAAAAGAAGCCTTAATTAAAAATCTCAAGGAATGTAAAAGTGAACCAAACCTTTTCTTTACAGACTCTGTTTACCTTTATTTCTTTATTCTTGTTTACTTTACACTTCTTCCTTCTTATAACGTTAGCTTTTGTTTTATGATACCAAGTGAGTTATGAAAGTTTAAAACTTTGGGGAGAGTGACCTTGTAAATTTTTTAAAAATATTTTTGTAAAGTGTTTTGGGAATTAGATTGAAGTTCTAAAAAGAACAGCTTTTCTTTTGGTGAAAATATTTTAATTATTGACACTATTAAAAGTTAACATAGTATTGATAGTGACTAACTGGTCCAGTGTTGATAAAGATTTTTCTTGTAAAATTGATCCACTTACAACATTGTGTTTTTTTTGGTAAGAGGGTTTATTTCCACAATTTGTTTAAATTAGTTGACNAGTGTTGATAAAGATTTTTCTTGTAAAATTGATCCACTTACAACATTGTGTTTTTTTTGGTAAGAGGGTTTATTTCCACAATTTGTTTAAATTAGTTATTTTAATGGGTGAAGAAGAGAACTTCTGAAAGTCTGTTGTGGAAGTAATTTGAATTTCTATCTCATTTTGTAATTTGCTTCCAATACCATGTTGAAATTATTACTTGATTTTAAAGTTAGCCTCTAAATTACCTTTTCCATATCTTTTCTAGGTTAGATAAAGGAGGATATTTCCCTAGTGTGGATTGCTGCCTTTGGTAAGAGTATGTCGTCCATCTTGCCATTCACTCCACCAGTTGTGAAAAGACTGCTGGGATGGAAGAAATCAGCTGGTGGGTCTGGAGGAGCAGGTGGAGGAGAGCAGAACGGACAGGAAGAAAAGTGGTGTGAGAAAGCAGTTAAAAGTCTGGTGAAGAAGCTAAAGAAAACAGGACGATTAGATGAGCTTGAGAAAGCCATCACCACTCAAAATTGTAATACTAAATGTGTCACCATACCAAGGTAAGTGCTGTTAGATCAGAAATTTGATGGTCAGCCTGTTGAAAATTGCTTAAAGGAATCTAAAGGAGAGTTATTGAAATTTTGTTACTTTCAAGTCACCTATAAATAGTGATTATTAAAATAGGACAGCTATTTTTAGCCTGTTGTATTAATTTTGTTGTACTCTTTAGACTTGTTTATTTTACAAGTCATTTTCTTGAACAGTGAGGTTTAATCAAGCAAAATAAAATACTTCGATTATATTGTTTTATCTTCCTGTCTCCATTTGCCTTTGTTGCCTAAATGCTTCCGTGTAATCTCATTTCTGTGATTGAATGACATTTGAATAAAGATTCAGTGTTTTTCTATCACTAGTGCAGCAGTGATGGACAGTTTTCTCCCCCCTTGGTTAAAATTCAGTCAGTAAAGAGTCGAAAGAGGCTGCTAACATTGTGTTAAATTATGTATATTGGTTTGTTTGAGTTGTAGCATTATTTCCAAGAAAGTACAGTATGTGAGGCAGCTTCTTAGATGTTATAGGTAATCAGATCTGTCTTGAAGACCTACCTCTTGTATTGGAAGGACCTGTTACTTAAGAGGTTGAGTTTTAGTCTAAATTTAGTCATTTATAGATAAGTACCACAGTTAGAAATACTTTTGTTTTTTAAATAGTGTAGCAAGTGTTTTTTAAGTGTTTCATTACTTTTTGTGTACATTCTAGGGCTTTTTGGGAGTGTCTGCATATAAGGATTTTTTGCTGTGTCATACATGTGAGCTGACATGCTTTTAGCACATGAAACCATTCCACTTGACATGTTTCCAGTGAGCTTTTGGAAATACACTCTGGATGCTTGTTGATAGATCCGGGAACACCCAGCCTATCTACTTGCAAATACTAATAGTAGAATGTTTCCTGCCTTGTGTGGTAGATTGATTATCTATTTCTTTTACCTTGTTTCAGGTATATCTTAAATAAGAGTCATTTTCTTCGTTTATTCTTTTGTCTTACAAATACTTATGAGTGCCTGATGTGTGCAAGATACCATTTCTAGGCACATGGGGATACAGTGATGAACAGAACACCAAGTTCCTGCCCTCATGAGGGATAGATGTATACAATAAACAAGTGGGAAAATTAATATAATTTGAGATGGTAATGAGTGCAAAGAAGACAATGACTGAGGGATTTAAAAAAACACAAATGCTTTGGATTGGATTGTGATGTTTAAGCTAAGCTTTGTGAAGTACCAAGCTAGCTGAGGTAGAGTCTTCTAGGCAGAAGAAAGAGCCGATGTAAAGACTCTGAGGTGGAAAATAGCTTATTGTAAAAGAAGGTTTAAAAGGAGCCCAGTAGAGTGGGAGTAATACAGAATGAGTACAAAACTTTGAGTCTGATCATATAGGGCATTGTAGGGCACTGTGGGCGTTTGAATTTTAGTTTAAATGTAATAGAAAGCAAATAAAGATTTTTAATGGGTTTCTAAAATTTAAATCCACTTTTAAAGGATTTTTTACGTTTACTTTTTACAAAGATTACTCTGGTTGCTGGAGACATGATAGTGGTGAGGATGGTGTGTGTGCACGCATGCTACAATGAATGATGGGTCTAGAAGCAGAAATCGGAAAATGATAGTAATTGAATTGAGATGCTGCAGGCTAGACTGGTGTGGTGGCGGTGCAAACGTGAAGTGGATGGATTTGGCATGTGTTTTGGAAGTAGAACTGATAGGACTTGCTAATGGGTGGCTAAGGATAAGTCAAGCTACGTTTGTTAAGTTTTCATTGTGTAGTGCCCAGTATCTCAATTCAGTAAACATTTGGCAAATAGCCACTACATGTGTGATAGGCTCTTACTCATTGGAATTATGCTTGAGCCACTTACTTTCTATTAAGGGAGATAAACTTTAAAAAAATAAAAGATAATTTTATAAGGTGCAGTAGGTGTTGTGAAAGGCGTTTGCTCAGGGAGCTATGTCCAAAGGAGGGGAACTTTGCCTACTTTTTGGCTTGTGGAAAGTTTCCTTCTGGAGGGAGATTGGTGCCTGGATTGAATCTTGATGGATGTAAGGGAGGAATTTGGTTGGAAGAAGCCCAATTCATCCAGAGTAGCACTGTGGTATTGAGAGCATGACGGTAGGGGAGGACTGACAAAGGGTTCTAAGTTGGCTTATGTCCTGAGAGTGTAAACTGAGAGGTGGGACACGGCAGGAGTGAGTCTATGTAGGTAGTAAGGAACTATAGCATGCTGGGCTGGGGAGTTTACACTGCACCTGAATATGATTGGGTGAAGGTGGATTTATTGAAGACTCTTAGGTAAGGAAGACTCATAAATCAGATTAATTTTAAGTATAGCATCTAGCTGTGGTGAGGAAAATGGTTGGGAAGATGTCAAGAGTGGAGGCAGTTAGTGTATGTTGTCTCCCTCATCAAAGGGATTGATCCAGGAAGACATGGACCCATGTTTTTGCCCAGCTTCATCTAAGGCTCAAATTGCTATTGCTGTGAGATTATTGAGAGCAGAGCCAGAGAGCAGGGCTAAGCAATCCTGTCCTTTAAGACGACACAGTAGGTAGCAACCTACTGATTAAATTCATGGACATGAGTATTTAAACTATGGAGGTCAACTTAGTCAGATTTCTTTTCCTTACTTTCCATTCTCCTTTTTGTAGCTTTTTAGACTTTTTCATATTCTAGGGCTGTTTCATCATTAAAATGGTTTTTTTCTACCCTTTTACCCAATGAAAGCAAAGTGGTAGTTGTCTATTATCTTGTGTTTTACCATCGGAAGTTCCTTGAAACTTAGAAACTTGCTTGTCTAACTTTGTGTTATTTTTATGTTGTTAGAAATGTAGATTTGTTAATATTGCTTGTGTCTATCAGAAAGTTAAGTTTCTTACTCTATAGTTTGGTGTCACATATTTTATAAAGTTTGCTTTGTTTTTAATAGTATAATAGTTACATTACATCAAGTGATTAGTCATTTCTTAACTACTAAATGTCTTTAAAGATTCAGTCAGCTCTTAATTATATAGACTGTAAAGGGTGGAGAATGGGGTGAGAAAAGTCCATTATGAATAAATTATGAATAAATCCAAACTGTAGTTAAAACATAATTCTTTAAAATGTGATAGTAAATGGATTTAATGTAAGCTTATTTACTTGAAAGTACAAGTAAGTTGTTAATAAAATACCTTAGTGTTTTACAAACCTTAAAAATATAGGTAAGTTCAATTGATGAAGAACATGAAACATACATTTCTTAATTTTAAAATATGGCAAATGTTTTCTGTTAAAGTATCTGTTTTGTTGACTCTAAACAGCATTTCTTCCCCTCAGCCCTCTACCTCCTAATGTTAGAGTGGGACTAAACTTAGGGCAGAAACATGCTACCTCGGTTTTCGAATGTACTCCATTCCAGAAGACCATCTGAGTTCTGAAACGTTCGAAAACTGAGGGATCAACAGCTGACGGCTAGGCCTCAGGATCTTGCCCTCAGCGGAAGCCGCGTGGCATGTTTGCCTTCCGAGGTGTGTTTGAAAACCGAAGCATTTCCTTCCATGTTTAGGCGTTTGTGAACAGAAAATGTTCGTCAATGGAGACGTTTGAAAACCGAGGTACTACTGTAGTTCTGGCTTTATGTCCCTTAACCCCCACCTCACATAATTACTCTGCCTTCAAAGTTTTGTTTCTGAAGGGGTAGAAACTGTAGTTACACATATGTCACTGCTTCCTTCCCACTGTTGTGTGTGGTGACACAAAGTGATTCACAGGCAGAACTTAACTTTCAAGCTGCAATGAACTGACTAGTATAAAGTTTCATGAAGTTTGTTGCATCGCAAAGATTTTTCACATGGAAGAATGGAAGAGACTACTCAGTTGTTAAATTGGAGTGGTAGTTGATCTTTAGGTAACAAATCAGTTAGAAGGAAAATGGCTTCCAATGAATGTTATGTACAATAAAGAAAAATTGAAACTGCAGTAGGGATGGAAATTCTGTAACATTTAAAGCAAGGGCCTGTGGGGTCTAAAATGGCAATTTTATATCTACTATGTTTAAGTGTGTAGGAATGTAGAACTTATTTCATAAACATAAATTATAAGAGCTTTCCTAAGGTGGCACTTCGACCACATAAATCACATTTTTGATCTTTTATCCTGAGGAAACAATCAGGAGTACGGTCAAGATTTCTGATGTTCATTTCAGTATTGTTTATAACAGCAAAGAATTGGGGAAAAACCCAATCCTGACCTATGGATTCCTTAACTCTGATAATAAAGAATATTTACCCAACTCATTTTATACCAGAATTGAACATGAATAGTAAAAGGAAGATTTATACCAATCTTACTTATAAAAATAGATACAAAACTATAAATATCAGAAACTGGAGTTTTTTCAGAACAAAACCACAAAATAATGACTATGTAAGGTTTAGTGCAGGAATGCAAGTATGATTCAGAAAGAGAAAAATCTCAATTCACAATACGCCGTACTTAAGAAGAACTCTGATCAGCTTGATGGATATAGAAAGAGCTTTCTATAAAATTCAATATTCATGTTAACAAATTAGAAACAGGAATTTTTTTTTTTTTTATTCGATAAAGCATACATTAAAAACATGTTAACATGATCATGAAATGTAGAGAGAAATACACCAAATTCTTAATAGTGGTTATTTATGGATGACCTAAAAATTTTTTTTCCGCGATCTTTTCTAATATTTATATAGAGAAATATGTTTTGCTTTTATAGGTAGCACAATCAAATGTTTAAATAGGATGTTTGGACAACACTTAGTCTAGTGTTGTCTTTAATTTGTTAGTCTTTGAAGTCAATTTTTCTGTTAAAGGACAATTATATTTTTATTTTAATATTCTTTTAAATAGATAGATAGACAGATAGATAGATAGATCTGTTTTACCCTTCAGAAAGTAAGTTCCTTAAAAACAGAAAGTAATGCATGTACATGATTCAAAAATCAACCACAGGTTAAAGTGTCTTCCTCCCACCCCTATTATCA